CATTTTTCCCTTGTCCGTAGTTTTTTATTGTTCTTTTATTTAATTTTTTATTGTCCCATAATTTTTTTATTGTTTATTTTCTGATTTTCTGCTGTATTACAAGGTACAACATGAAAAAAGGCTGCCACACACACACACACACACACAAAACCAGTAAAGTATTAAAGCAATGAAGAATGCATTAGGTTGAACTGTATATGAAATTGTCAACAGTCAGTCAGTTTTGATCTACAAAAATGACAGTTTCTAATGGTTCATCCCCATACCTCCAGTGGAAGTATTATAATTTCTTGAGCAGCTCCTATGTGTTTTTGAGCTTGATCTTGAAAAGTTGGTCAAAGTTTTGGACAGAATTGTGGGAGGGGGTGGAAGAATATCAGACAGAGCGTACAGCATGAGCAAAGACTCAAAAGTGTGTGTGAAGGGTGGAGTGCAGGGAGTGGAGTAAACCAGAAGTACTTCAGTTTGAGGATAAGACGATGGTCTGTTCTCCAGTTCTCCAGACACAATGAAGAGTTTGCTGTCTCTCAACCAGACACTCTCTCCTGTATCCAGCCCTGTGTATATGCTCTCTTCTTGGCCTGACACCCTTCCCCTTGACCAACTCCTGCTTGATCTTCAAGACTCAAGCCAGGCATCACCTCTTCCAAGAAGCCCCTGTGGACTCCAGTGCCCACCCATGGGCCAGATTAGCTGTCTGTTATGTGTGCTCCTTGGCACCACAGTATTGCATTGTATCATGCACCTTTATCACTTTCTTCCCTGATAGAGTGTGAGCTCATTGAAAATGAGACTGCAGTGCCTGGTATACAGCAGGTACTCAATAAGTACTTATGGAAGGAACAAACTAATAAACCTGAGGTGGGGAGAGGCAGAAGTGAGCACTGATGTTGAAGCATCAAGTGTAGTTGACTAGGAAGATGATGATGTTTACTTCTGAACCTTTATGAATGTTTATATATATATATGTTTTATACATATGTATATATGTGTGTATATATACGAACATGTATTTTTTTTATAAGAAATCAAGGTACTTAACCACACCTGTGAAACGAATAACTGTATGATTGACAAAACCACTATATATATATGTTTTATACATATGTATATATGTGTGTATATATACGAACATGTATTTTTTTAATAAGAAATCAAGGTACTTAACCACACCTGTGAAACGAATAACTGTATGATTGACAAGACCATTGAGTCTATTCTAACACCACATGAGATAGTTACTAATTTATACATGCTTTTTCACATAGGACTCTATCGATAGGAATAAAACAGCTGTGATTGGACATTCTTTTGGTGGAGCAACAGTTATTCAGGCTCTTAGTACAGACCAGAGATTCAGGTAAGAGAATAAGACAGAGTAAAGAAGAGAACAATAAATTATTCAAAGAGGAGTAGTGATAATACTTGTGAGGTGTAGTATTTTTATCAAATTTTTAGTGAAGAAAGACCCTGTGGGGTTTTCTCTTTGTCTATTTCTTTGCCTCCATCAAGTACTCTATATAAATTTTCCTAGGCAGGAACCATATACTTCTCCTTCTATTAAAAACTCTCCCCACCCCTTATATATTTTCCCTCATCATTCTTATTTATCTGCTCAAGGGCTTAACATTTTTACTTATACACATTTTTTTTCTGTGACATAATGATTGTGATAATAATATTGCTATCATATAGTAGTTCCAAACTTCCCCAAAAGGCAAGGCCATTTTTAAAATAATTTTTTTCCTTTCATCTTTAAGATGGAGCTGGGTTTAAAATCACACAATTATTTGGGTAGGAGTCATGACCAGACCCTAGTTTTCTAACTTGCTGAAACAATTTCTTTCTTGAACTACTTCACTCCAGACTGATAAAATAATGTAGTACCAAACATATAGAAAGTGGGTGGGATCATTTGTGAAACTTCCTCTCGAATTTCTTAAAATCTGTTTCAATGTACAGAAGTTCTCTTCTTTCATCCACTCAGCACATTAAATGGAATGTTTAAAAGGTCAGGAAACACAGAATAAATTCACTTTTAAAAAGAAAGTTAGTTATGTTTTCAAATGATATACTCCATATGTTTTTCTTCAACCCACAGACAATTTTTCAGGTGAAGCACCTTTAAATATAAAGCAGTGGGTCCAATTGTTACTCTGAAAAGGTATAACGAATATACTATGGAGTGCCCCAAAGCTCTGGAAACACAGAGGAAATGGTGTATTTATTGTACTTTTTCAAATACCCCACAGTTTTTCAGAAATTATTACTTATTTTAAAATTTATTTTGTGGACAATATAATGAAATATGAATAATAAGAATTTTTAAGGTTGCAATTCCTAAAGGCCTCCTAAAGAGAATGATTCTACAATTCCAGGTCTGCTACCTTATAAAGCTAATCATATCCCATTCCCACACTGAAGTATAACTCCTCTTAAACCTAGCAAAGTAACCCATAATAAACTGGTATGGTGTGTGTCCATTAATCCTAGCCTTATTAGGAAGTCCTATATGTTGGCCAGTGTGTGACCAGCCTTCTTTCATCATTGTCAACAAATATCCGCAGATGTGGTATTGCCCTGGATGCATGGATGCTTCCAGTGGGTGATGAAGTATATTCCAGAATTCCTCAGCCCCTCTTTTTTATCAACTCTGAACGGTTCCAATATCCTGCTAATATCATAAAAATGAAAAAATGCTACTTACCTGGTAAAGAAAGAAAAATGATTACAGTCAGGTAAGTATTAGTGACTTTTTTCATCATCTGAAACAGAAACTTGAAACTTGGATAAATATCAACATATATCATTTAATAGTCATTACAGAATTGCTAACTGGGTTGTTTTAGACATTCAATAAGGAGAATATCAGAGAATATCAGTTTCTAAGTACATTTAGACTTTTAAAAATGAAATGTTCTTAGTAGTGTTAATGTATATAGTGCATATATTGGTAACTGAAATTTGCATTAGGCTACATGCTACTTTTATCCAGACACCAGAACATGCCTACACATTTTCGGCGGAGGGGGAAGTATTCCATCATTAGGCTAGGCTTGGAACTCTTTAAAGAAAAAGTCAGATAATCTATTGAGGCCTGCAATGGGTTTGCCTGTTGGGAAAGAATGAGTTTATAAATTCCCAGAACCTGTAATGGGGTGCGCCCTTGAGTGTTGGCAATATGCTTACATCCTGGACATGGGAAAGAACTCCCAATAGAAGAACTCACAATGAGATGTTACAAAGCATAAGATAGAACTCATCCCTCTCCTATCTGAAACCTAGTTTACTTAGAAGGAAAGAAAAGGCAGGAAGGAAACACGCAATATAGGCAATAACCACTAATGGGGTCAGACAGTGGAGGGGTCCTTTCCAACTGAAAAGAATTCTTAAAAGAGATGGGAATAGAACTAGATCTTGTAGGATACAGAGAGGTTAAACAGCTGGTGAGGAAGGATCTAGGTATTTAGGTAAGGACTTGCGCAATATAGGCAATAACCACTAATGGGGTCAGACAGTGGAGGGGTCCTTTCCAACTGAAAAAAATTCTTAAAAGAGATGGGAATATAACTAGATCTTGTAGGATACAGAGAGGTTAAATAGCTGGTGAGGAAGGATCTAGGTATTTAGGTAAGGACTTGAATTTTGCTTATTTGTATGTGCAAGTGTCTCTAATTCTGAAGGAGAAATAATACAGAACACTTAACCTTTCCTCAACTCTACTTCCCTGCTAGGCTCTTACCTTATCTTTTTTCTTCCTTTCTCTGCTAGATATCTTGAAAGAATAGCCTATATTTAATATTTCATGTGCTTACTTTTATTCACACCTTGACGCCTGTGGTCTAGCTTCCTGGGCCCCCACTAGTGTGCTGAAGCTGGTCTGCTAAGGACACTAAAGACCCGCTGCGTGCCACACCAGCAGCCACATCCTAGTGTCAGCCTTTCTCACTGCATCTGCTTGACACTGTTCACTACCCCAACTTCTGCTCCCTTGGCTGCTCGACCTACCTCTTTCCTGCTTTTCTCATTGATCCTGCTCCTTCCTTTTCTCCTCAGGCAGCATCTAGGCTTCTGCTCTCAGATCTCTCATGATCCTGTCTCTGTTTACCTTCTTTATGTTTCTCATACTCAAGTTCCAGCTGGAATGTGGGGAAGAGTGAGAGAGTCAGATGACCCTGTTTTCAGCTTAGATGACAAAGAATGATAGTTTGCTTGTAAGAACCAGCAAAATGAAGAAATGCAGTGGGGCTGAGAAGATGTCGTGTTTTAACGTTGGGATTTCTTATCCTGAGAACTGGGAAATCCATGTAGAGATGTCTGGCCACAATTGGAAAAGTAAAGAATTTGCGTGATTTTATAGATGAAACCTTTGGAGTAGATGAGACTATAAAGTGAGAAAAGAATTGTTCTGAGAATAAGATCTTGAAGAATGCCTGCCTTTAGCCAAAGGGAGAAGGGTGAAGAGCCAGTGAAGAGCACAGAGTGGTTAGAGTCAGACAGAAATGTGCAATGTCAAGGAAATGAAGAAAAAAAATGCAAGAAAATCATCGAGTGTCAAAATAAGCACTAAAAAAAAAAAAAGCCATTCTATTTGATGTTAGGCTATTAATGAATTTAGAGAGCAGTGTGAGTGGTATTTATAAGGGGCTTACAGTTTAATACAGGAATTTTTAAAAAAATCTTTGGACTCTAAGGCTTAAATCTGAAGTGTTTTGACTAACATCAAATAGATACCAAGTTAAGTAGTAGGGGTGAGGTGGTAGGCTCAGGCTCTGAATTCAGGGCCCCTTCAACAAACAACACATTTTATCTACTCAAATTGGAAGTATTGTAGTCCACTAAAATGTGGGAATCATTTCTTCTAAATTCCAAGTACCAAGTAAGACAAGATTCTTTGGATTGTTTTTCTAGAGGGAAGATGAATATACTCTAAGATCCATAAATGAACAACCTGTGACCCTCAAATGCATCTAAAAAGATCAAATTATAAGTTTTGTTTCCTTGGTTTTCAGTAAGTAGGCCAACCAGGCCAGTATCTTTTCTGTACCCTAACTTCAAAAATAATTTTGTCAATGTGATTTCTAAATGTCTCATTTTTCTTTTAGGGGTTCAGTCCATCAGAATTTTGTTGACTTTACTTTTGCAACTGGCAGAATAATTGGATACATACTCACATTAAAAGGAGATATAGATTCAAATGTAGCTATTGATCTTATCAACAAAGCTTCATTAGCATTCCTACAAAAGCATTTAGGTAAGAAACTAATATTCTTTTATGTCATGAATCAGAGGATACTCAGGACAAAACAGTCTATTTATCACAGTTTTAGTCTCATTTTAACTGATTCCAGTTGGTTTATAATTAAACACAGCAGTAAATCAATTTGAAAGCAAAAATCATGAAAGTTAATTTTGCTGCTTTGCATCATAGAAAGCGAGTCTACTTGTTAAAGCTAATAGTCTTTCCATGAAGCCTAGGTGGACTTCCATGTTGGTGATTGTTTTAGACCATTTCTGTTGACATAACAGAATACCACAGACTGGGTAATTTATAAACAACTGAACTTTATTAGGCTCATGGTTCTGGAAGCTGGGAAGTCCAAGAGCATGGCACCAGCATCTGACAAGGGTCATCTCATGACAAAAAGTGAGAGGGCTGGAGTGTGTGAGACAGAGAGAAATGGAACCAAACTTATCCTCCTATCAGGAGCCCAATCCCGAGATAGCTAACACACTACCGCAGTAATGGCATTAATCCATTCTTGACGGCAGAGCCCTCATGGCCTAACAACCTTGTAAAGGCCCCACCTCTCAACACTGTTACAATGGCAATTAAATTTCAACATGAGTTTAGAAGGGGACATTCTAACTATAGCAGGGATGCTGACAGCAGGGTGCCTCAGTCCTAATTCTCTCATTCACATGCAGCTGTTAAAGCAGCCTTGTTGCAGCTACACACAATACCTTTCCTCTATAATCATTATGCAATTTGTGTAATTTGTAATTCTGTGGTGCCACCTAGAGGCACTGAACTGCGAAATATGTTTATTAACGTTTATATTTTACAGAACTTCATAAAGATTTTGATCAGTGGGACTCTTTGGTTGAAGGAGAGGATGAGAATCTTATCCCAGGGACCAATATTGACACTACCAAACAACATGTCACTCTACAGAACTCTACAGGAATAGAGAAACAGACATTAGATTAAAAGAGCTTTTTTAAAAGTCTTGTTTAAAAACTGTCTAAAAAAGTGTGTGCGCACATGTGTGATTTTAATGTATTTTCCTAAATAACTCATATTTAAAAATGTGGGCTATACTGTAACAGTGATTGATACTCAGACTGTTTTCCTTTAAATGTAAAGAAAGAATGCAGTATACAAAAATCATACCAGCCTAAATTTTAATTTTACTAAGAGGATCCTTTTTAAGTGCGAAAATTAAAAACTTCTTTTACATTACCTTAATAGACAAATATATTAAAACAGGCACACTGCCAATGAAAACCTGTTGCTATGACATAAGACTCCCTAAACATACTGTAAAAACAGATTTTCTTGCCTTTTATTCTCTATTATGGGCAGTAGAGTTGAGTTTTAGCAACATGATATTCTAGGTAGAATTTGGCAGCGCTTCTCTTTGATTTTTGGTCATGGTAAGAAAAAATCAGATCAAGCTGGTAATAAAGCCATTGTATTAGCACAGAAATACTATACAATTTTAAAATGATGACTAAATGTGGAGTGGACAAGGGTTAAGAATATTGGAGACAAGGCAAGGACAGCAATTAAAGAAAGTTGGTCATGTGTTTGCATTTTCTTTAACGCTTTATTTCTGATGTATTCTACTTAACTGAAGAAAGGGGCCACTGGTATGTAGGTATATAAGAGAACAGAGATTTCTCCTCTAACACATTAAATTAGTTACTCACCCAAAGGCTGTGAAGGATAACAAAGTTATCCTTAAATGTATTTAGAGTTACATTTGACTTCTTCATTTTCCAATTATATAAGAGAACAGAGATTTCTCCTCTAACACATTAAATTAGTTACTCACCCAAAGGCTGTGAAAGATAACAAAGTTATCCTTAAATGTATTTAGAGTTACATTTGACTTCTTCATTTTCCAATTAAATTTATTTAATGGATGTTTTTAATTCTCCATGTAGTAGTAGAAGTAGAATAACACAGTTCAATGGAGGTTAAAAAGATAGCTTAGAAATGTATACATGTATACATCTGGGAGTCATGGAAAATGATTTTGTTTCTCAAGGCATATAAAAATTTATGCCACTCAGTAGTTATGTTTTGGTCTGAATTTGGTCTCGTTCCTATGAATTCTCCATAATAAAGTTTAATTTAGTCTGTGTGAATGAGGTTAATCAGTACTTAGTATGCAAGCCTGGTTTACTCTTCCATCCCCATCCCTTTTGCCCGGTTAATAAATAACTGTGTATCCTGATTTGGCACCTCAGGCCTATCTTAGTGATTTATGGTGCAGAATCACTCAGTCTGAGAAATCTGACTTCTCTCTTGTAGCCATTCAGATTAAAATTTTCTAAATAGGGAGCTGGATTAAACTCCTTGGCTTGAAACTGAAGGCTTTCTATAATCTGGCCCTAATGCATCTTCTCTGACCTTTACTGCCGGTAGTTCACAACTATGTCTCCTACATGACTGAGCCAAACTTGTCTATTCATTATACCAGGAACAAGTAATATATGCACCTACCTCAATTATTTTTCATACAAGACCCTCTGCTTTCTACTTATTGAAACTATACCCAGTTTTTAAGGTTCTTAAGTCTCATTATTTCCATTAGGCTTCATGGTCTGACAATGTTTCATACACATATACCTTTTCCCCTGTCTCATTCAACAAAATTTCTTTTTAGCCATTTCAGAAATGGATACACATTCCAATTGTATTGATACCCCATTCAAGACCATTTTAAACAATCCTTTGTTGGTGGCACATGCTGATGATGAAAGGAGAAAATAACTGCTGGAAATATCCAATGAGTTAAGGTTAAGAAAAATAACCTAGCATAGTGCACACTTAGTATTTTCCAGGAAAAAGAAGTAAACATTTATTAAATTTCTACTCCTTTTCAGACACTTTACATAATTATTTCTATATCTTCAAACATGGCAAGAAAGGTTTTATTGTCACCATTTTACAGATGAGGAAGATCAAGTCTCAGAGATATTACATAACCTGCCCAGGTCACATATTTAGGGCAGTACATCATTAAGATCTATTTCCAAAAGCTAGGATCTGTATTTTATATACTACAGCCTATACAGAACCATGTTTAAAAGAATGGGCTTTGAAGTTGTTGGGTATGAGTTGTTCAAGCCCTGGGGGCTAACTAGCTATTTGACTGTAGGCAAGTTATTTAATTTCTCTAAAAAGCTTCAATTTTCTTACCTGCAAAATATGGATAATATTAATACGTACCTCAGAGTTGATGATTATAATGAGAAAGTGAATTTAAAGTGCCAGGTGAGTGACTAAATGTAAGAGCTACTACATATTCCTATGCTTCCCCCAACCCCCGATTATAGAGGAGGAGACACGGAAGTACAGATATTCAAGAATCCTATTTCCTTTTTAATGAAATGAGACCACCACACCTATAAAGGATAAACTTTATTAAAGTTTTGCATTATATTAGAACACTTCCAAATTCAAACAATATTAGTAAATGTGTAACTAGACAGGGCAAAGTTTCAAAATCAAAACAAAAATTCTCAAGAAATTACTGCATTACCATACTCCTAAATAGCATCATATAATGTACTTGTCATGAACCTATATTTTTCTATTTTAATTTAAACGCTATATTCAAAGGATACCAAAATAGTTTGTTTTCTTTTTTTAATGTGTTAGCAAATTGTTTAGCAAAATAAATCCTCCCAATTGGTTAGAAACATAAGATAATTAAAGGCAGAGGAAGGAAAGATCCCAGATCTGTATACACAATAATAACACTGTAAATATACTGCACAGTCAACCTGAGGCCTATTTTGTTTTCAACACATATCAAGTTTTCGAAAATGACAACTTCTTGTGATTACAAGCTTTCAGTTTTCTCAAATACGTTGGTCTGGATAAGATACCACTTATTTAACAGCAGCTTTTTTTTTTTTTTTGGTGGCGGGCCGGTGTGGGAATCCGAAACTTTGATCCTGGTGTTACTACACTGAGCTCTAACCAACTGAGCTAACAGACCAACACCTAAAGAGCGGTTTCTGACTGACTGGCCACATCTATGGATCCACAGTTAAATCTACATCACTTCCAGGCCCCTTTTCTGAAACAAAAAGAGAAAAACCTCAAGCTGAGAAAGAAACATAAAAACAAGAAAATTATCTATATAGGTGCTACTACAACAAATTTAATGTGCTATAAAAGGGGAGGAGAGACAGATAAGTATTCTAATTATTACAGGAAATTATTCCTATAGAAATTTTTCTTTTCAGTATTTTAATTCTCACACTTCTGCCTGCTATCAAATAAAGTTTCTCTAAAAGACTATGAAATTGTCATATTTTATATTTTGCTAGAATGTGTATTTTTCACATAATACTAAAGCCACTGAAAGCCGATTTCATTCTGTGTGCCTCAATTCTAAGAACCAACATGGTATTTATGAACAAGAATGTGCAATAACCAAGAATATCCAATAAATTGAAACTTATCATGTAGACAAACTAAAAATCCAGAAATTCCAAGAGATTATTTAGCATACAAAGATCATTTTAACATATAAGCTAATTAACACTGAGAACATCCTTTAAAATCCTTTAAAATATAAATTTATCAGACTCACAATTTAACATTTAGTATTAATTCAATCATCAATTTTCCTATGATATTTCAAAAAATCCTCTTCTTGGTTATTTATCTCCATAAGCGCATTTAAACATTTTTACCTAAAGTGTTTTTTTCCCTACTACTAACATCCAAGGAAACTGATAAACCATTTTTGTTTGAGAGATTCACTGTAATGGTGTCTTTAAGGCTTGGCAATTACGAGTGATAAAAGTATTTTGTTTTAAAAACACAAATTACCTTTAGTTGTGGTATCCAATGACATGAGGTAAACATCTTTTCCCACTGTTTGAAATACAGCCTAACAAAAGAAACCTTTGTATTACTACCAGTTTTTTATAGTAAGTACATAGTTTAAATCAAATGAACCAGAAAAAAGGTAAACAGCAAAAAGTATTCCTATTCGAATTATGACAATCTGATTTTGTAGTGAATAATCGCCTTAAGTACATTTTCTATTCTTCAAATACTAATATCTCTGGAACATCTCCACTGGTGCGTTCTATACAGGAAGTAAATTACTCTTCCCCAATTTTTAGCTTCCAACCCCCTGACAACTTTGGTATTTGGTGGAGGGTGGAGAGAGGAACATCATTGTTCAAGGGGCTATTATTCAAATACATTATCCAAGATGAGACACAGATGTTTTATTAAAGACTAATGAAGAGGGATATATTTCTCCTATATTCCTTTTAACAACTAATAACGTATGGTGTGATACAGAAACTAATTAATAACATTCTTATAGTAAAATGAAATAGTTCAGATAAAAAAAATTCTTTAAAAATGTAATCAGAAAGACTCTCAGATCACAGTGACTTGATGTATTACTTTTAAAAAGTTATGCGTAGTAAAATGAAATAGTTCAGATAAAAAAAATTCTTTAAAAATGTAATCAGAAAGACTCTCAGATAACAGTGACTTGATGTATTACTTTAAAAAAGTTATGCGTAGGGGCCGGCCCGGTGGTGCACTGCTACAGTGCGCCGCTTGGGAGCATGATGGCGCTCCCACCGAGGGTTCGGATCCCACATACAGACCGGTTCCCACTCACTGGCTGAGCGAGATGCGGGTGCAACACTGACAACACCGAGGGTTGTGATCCCGTTGCCAGTCCCGGTCCGGTACGGGCGCAACACTGAGGGTTGCGATCCGTTGCCGGACACGAAAAAAGACAAAAAGGAAAAAAAAAAAAAGTTATGCATAATTTAATATTATCTCACAATATTCACTTTTTAAGGAATACTAGCTCATTTGTAGACAGGCATCCTTATCTAAGAGCTCCCTCAAATTTGAGGAAAAGATCATTTAAATCCCATTAATGACCAAATCAAAAATTTTAAAGCCTTACTCATAAGTTGTTTCTACATGTCTACTAGTTGGCTTAAAGTCAGAGGTAACTGTGTACATATATACACATATATATTATATATATAACATTTTAAATAGTCCTAAATGGTTTTTTTCTATTTGGCAGGCATAGGGTACTTTATCCAAATATAATCCTCTGTGTACATGCATGTGTATTTGGCTGTGGACTCTTCAAAATTAAGATGGTGACAATCAACATAAAAGAAATTTTAGTGAATACTGACGCAGAAAAGTGTAGCAGCCTTTTATTTTTGACAAGTAAACAAAAAGAGAACATATGAAGGTGGAGATGTTCAATGATTTTTAATAGTAAAACATTTTAAAGGAGCTAAATATCCAAAACTATAATAAATGGTTTAATACATGATGGCTCATTAATGTCACACAATGTTATGTAGCTGTCAGCCATTGTTTATGGCCTTCTGACCGCAGCCATGATGGAGTAAGCTGACTCTAGTCTCTCTCCTCCACTGATTACAACCAAAACTTCTGGACACAATACAAAATGCAACTACCTGAGGACTCTCAAGAATAAACAGGAACAGGTAGATTGAGGACTAAAGTAAAAACTTGAGTAATGCCTCACAACAGCAGTGAGTTTCACAGGCTTTTTAAATTTTAAAAAAACATTTTTTTTTTTACTTCTTTGTCTCCTGGTTTTGATCTGAGGGTGGGCCAAATCACAACCATCCAGTTGGAATAGACAGCAAAACTCTGAGAAGAGTCCCCTGTTGCTAGCTAGAGGACTAGGAAAAAAGGACCTCTGAATGCTAGATCAGAGAGTGGGGAGGAAATCTCTTTATTGTTTTCTTTTCCCCTCATTCTTCTTCTGGTCCTACCTGAGGGTGGCCCCGGTTACTGCCTGGTGACAGCAATGGCAGTGTAGCCACTTAAGAATGTGAGAGAAGACCTGTCTCTGACCAGTGGAACCAAGGAAATGGTTTTCTGTTATCTGAAGAGGAGGAGGAGGGGTTTCTTTTTTTCTCTCTTTTCTCTATTTGCTTCACTCCAAAGGCAGGCTCAGTCAAACAGAACTGCATGACAGCTGAGAGGGAAACCTTGAGAGAAAAATACTTTCTGGCCAGGGGACCAGGAAAAGGAGCCTTTGGAGGCTGGATAAAAGAGGACCCTGGGAGCCAGAAAGTGTGGAGGAAATCTCAGAGCGAAAAGGAGATGGAAAATTTAATCCCTAATACTGTATATGAACTGATATAAGCCCCAGGATCACCCCTGAGCTATGCATATGCAGAACAGAACCAAATAAGTACAGCCAAGTCTTTGACACCAGACCATTATATAAACTACAGTCCAAGTCCTAGACTAAACCCCTGAGTGCCTTACATTCTGGGCAGACATGAGCAACATAGCAACAGTTTTGAAAACTAAACTGACATGGGAACCACCAACTACAGAATGACAGAACTTGTAGTATGAACCTAACTGCATGGATCACCTGCTAAAACAAAAACTTTAACATTCTCCAGAAGATTTTAACAGGACCCAAAGTCATACAACATAATATTCAAAATGTTCGGGATAGAAAAAATTACTCAACATACAAAGAACGAGGAAAAGCCAATCATTTCTCTAAGGAAAAGACAACCAACAGGTGCAAACCCTGAGATGACTAGATATTGGAACCATCAGACAAAGATTGTGAAGCAAGAAGTTCAACAAGCCCCAAACAAGATAAACTCAAATGTCAAGGCACAATATAATGGCATGGGAAATCGCCAACCATATTGTCTTATATGAAGAACACAGAATATAAAACTATGTGTAGGATGAAACCAATTGCGTCCAAAATATATAGATGAAATATTTATATTCTATATAAACAAAAAAATTATGACAGAAAAGCAAACTGATAACCTGATTATCTTTAGATGGGTATACTACAAGTGATTGTTACTTTCTCATTTTTAATTTTGCCATATGATGGAGTTTGGTTGTGTTGTCCCCTCCAAAACTCATATGGAAATTTGATCCCCAGTGTGGCAGTGCTGGAAACTGATTGAGTCATGGGGGCGGATCCCTCATGAATGGATTAATGCTCTCCCTGGGGGGAGGGGGATTAATGAGTGAGTTCTTGCTCGATTAGTTCCCGCGAGAGCTCGTAGCTTAAAAAGACCCTGGCACCTTCTCTCTCTCTCTTGCTTCCTCTTGCCACGTGATCTGCTTGTACCCGCCAGCTGCTGCCACTTTCTGCTATGAGTAGAAGCAGCCTGAGGCCCGTGCCAGATGCAGCTGCCCCAGAATCGTAAGCCAAATAAACCTCTCTTCTTTATAAATTACCCAGTCTTGGGTAATTCTGTTATAGCAACACAAAACGGACTAAGACACCATATTTCTCAGATTTCATGCATCAAACATGTATTTTATAAGAATCATGAACACCAGTTTTTATTCTTTAAGCCTCAAAGTGAAAATCAAGAAGTAAAACATTAACAACTAGTTTGCCCAAACAGATACTTTGCCTAAAGTTCAGAATCACTGACTTTGTAATTGCTGTTTTTAACTGTTGTTGTTAAAATATTATTTTCTTCTCCATTTTTCCTAACACATGTGCTTTGAAAATAGTTTGTTAAATCATCTTTCAAATTGAAGAACAATGCTCTCATTGACTACTGTTCATATAATTCCATACCTCAGGTGGACTGTTACGCAATTTGGGTATGCCATTCCAGACATTCTCAGGTTCCACTACCTCCTCCATACCATTTGAGAGGTTCAAAACCTGTAAGAGAAAACAGAAAATTTAATAAAAATTGGCAAGTTTCAAAAACTATAATAGATACATGTACCATAGCAACTCTTTTTAAAATGAAATATTTTAAAAGACAATAAAAATGATTTAATCAAGTGAGCATACATTCTTATCACAAAGCTAGTTTTTACTGTTATTAAAATGGGACAATGATGTCTACTAGAACATTGTTAAGAAAAAAATGTAACAATGAGGAATAAATATTTATGGTAAAGATCATATTTAAATAAATTATGATGTATCTACAGGATGGCGTACTATGAAATTAAAATATTCCAAAAGCATTTTTAAAGGATTAAAATGCAAGATTCAGTACTGTATAACAGGATGATCTGTACTTCATTTTTAAAACTGTATATAGACAGACATACACAAAGAGTATTTTTTTGACAACAAGAAAAAAGTACACATGGTGTTCACAGTAATCATTTCTCTGTGGTAGAAGTATGGTGATTTTCATTCTCATTACTGTATTATTTTCTGTATTTTGTACAATGGTTCAAATTTAATAATATAAAAATTGACATTTTAAAAGTATAACATTGATGATAAAAATCTAGAAGTTAGCCAATTAATGTAACTTTTAAGTCTTTTTAAGTAGCAAAGAAAATAGCCATAGAAATAATAATAAAGTTATTACAATAAATGTTCTCCCAGCTTTACTCATGAGTGTTAACATTTTTGATTAACATAGGCTCCCTAAATCTATTTTTTGCTTAAAAGTTTCTAAATGAATGGCAAAATCAATGCATGACATAGTTAAGTCTGAAAAAACCTGCTAAAATTATGCCTATTATAAATTTATGCCTACACTAATGCTTGGCAAGGGAACATCATGTTTTTTAAAACTTACCAACTCAAATACCCTCTTGATTATAAAGATGATTTATTTACATTTTAAGTATGATCATCTTTTGGAGACAGATTTTATGCATTCTATTTTTAAACATAAAATTAGTATTTCAGCATTTCATTCATCACGTTATTTTACATTGATTTCACAACTTATTTTCCCCATGTTTAAAGTGCCCTTCAAAAAATACAAATCTGATTCACTTCCCAGGATTTAATCTTCCTCCAAAAAATTAAGAAAACTCATATTATTCTCTTTTCTTTAAAACAAATAAGAACTTTTGAGAGACACTAAGTTAAACTTAAAAGTGAAAGAAAAAAACTTCACATACCTGAGACATGATCTGGTAAAGTATTATTGTGTTTCCTCCCATCTCTGGATTCTTCCTTAGAGAACAAAGGTGTCAATGATGAAATGGCAACCCTGTTTTTATATTCCGTAAACTCTTCTTCATATATGTACATTTCTGTCTGCATTTGGGGATCAAAATTCTCTTCTTGTAGGTGTGATGGTATTCTGTGCTGGTCATCAAAGGATTCCACACAACTTGACTTTCTCACGTCGTCAGCACACATGGATTCTTGGGCTTTCTCATTAACGCTTAAAGACAAAGGATTTATTTTGTCATCTAGAGACAGCGGGGCTGCAGGTAGTTCTAGTTCTGGCTGTTTCTCGGCTTCACAGTTGAGGGGAAGCTGCATTGTAAATGGCTCCAGGGGGGCTTCCCTGTCACAGCCTTGGGAGAGCGACACAATCGATGGCAGCAGGCCTAGCTCCTCTTTTTCTTCATCCCCCACTAGAGAATGCTGGAGCTCAATGGATTCTAGTTCTAGGAATTCTTTTGAGTCACCATCAGGAGAAAGTGGCACCTCAGGTGAAATCAGTTCTAATATCTCCTTTGTTTCACTAGCATGTGGTGATGATGTGTTAAATCCTGTAATGAAGTATTTATTATCAAACTTTGCTTCATCAGCCAAATGGCCCTCTACTTTACCTTCCAGTACCTCAGTACCAATTTTATCTTCATGTGGGTTTTCAAAAGCTTTGAAAATGTTATCAAGCTTGAGGTCATAGAATTTACTTGGTTTGGTGTCAATCATGTTTAAATCTTTTTCAGTTCTTTCAGACAGCTCATGTGTCTCTGGTTCCACATAAAATGTTTTATCTTGTACAGCTTTATTACTTGCTTTCTTAAGTCCCACATCAGGACTGGGGGACCCAGGAGCTCCCTTTATGTATAGATCACTTTTTTCACAGGGCACATCACTCTTAGTAACACCAATCTTAGAATATTTCTTCATTTTTTCATTAATACTTTCACCTTTGCTTTTCAAGTCAACAATTGCTAAAGGGATATCACAAACATCCTTTCTAATTTCTAATATTGTTATTTCCAACACATCTTCTGTTATTATTTCATAAAAATAGTCATTTCCCTCTTGGGGACATACACTTTCTGAAATATTAAATCCTGAGAGGCAACATGGAAAAGCTTGCATGGGAACCAACAAAAGCTCAGAAGGAATATTCCAGAGTGCTTTGGGGTCCACACAGTCTTCAATGTTTCCAAAGTCCACAAGCCTGACGGATACAAGATAATCTTCACAAATATTAGTGATAAGTGCCCTATAATAATGCCCATCTTCTCTATGTCTTACTATACAAGGATCTCCAATATGAGGACATGGGATACAATTTCCCAAATCTGTCACCTGTTCTCCAGCTGTTTGTACTTCTATTTCTAAATACTGAAGTTTCTCAGTATCGGCAAACTGACACCAAAAATACTCAGGTCCATCTATCACAGTGGCATAAGCTCTTACCATCTTCACTTTTGGATTATACCAGTTAAGAAATACTGCAGTGTCAGTGTTGCTAACAGACTTTGAACAGGCACCTTTAATTACCTGGGTAGAAAGTCCTATTTGAGATTTTTCACTGAAAGCATATCTGCTAATCATATCTTCTGCGATGATCCCATGTTCATCAGCCAGAATAACTTCCCATCTGTCTTGAAATTGAATAAATTCACATCTTATTTGAGTCCTATTTGTCCTTTGGGAAAAGTAATGCATCATTTCCTTGCAGTGTATAATGTCAGGAACCCAAAGTCCCCCTAAGGAGCAATGAATGCACAGTCCTGGTAATATTGCATTTACTACATTAAGCCTACCTATTTTGTTAATATGAACCACAGAAACATTGCCATAATCTATAAATTGTACAGAGAAAAGGTCATTGGGTTGTAGTTTCTTGACCACAGCACGATACCATAAATTGTCTTCTGGGAAAATGGCACATATCACATCTCCTCTTTGCAGAGGTGGACCTGCATGATATTCAGGCCTGGTTTTAACATCATTTAATCTCTCTGAAAGATGATTAATTTCAGCTTCATCTTCTGTTAGTTGAACATAAAAGTCTGAAAGGTCATTTATATGAGAAACATACACAGTGGTTTTAAAGCCAGGCATTATAATCTTCTGTGGGAGCTCACAAAATTTTAGAGGCAAATTTTTGTTACATGAATCTCCTATTTTTCTCTCTGAAGGAGTGGCTTTTAAACATGGCTCAGTAAAAATTTCTTCTTTCTTTTTTGTTGTTACTGGAAACACTTTATTATTATTATTTCCCACAGAGTCCTGATATTGAGCGACTAAGTTTGTCTTTGTTGAACTTCGTAAAAATTTGAGCTCCTTACATGCTGAGTTGACCTTAGGTTTGTATGATTCTCCCAAAATCTCTAGACTGTACAATTTCTTCTCTACTGATTTACTTAAATACTCTGAAGGTGACAACTTTATATTTTCATTTTTTTCTTCAACAGTTTCAGTTGTAGAGAAGAATGCTTCACTTTCTTTTCTTCTTTCTTTGTAACAATGTAGCCCTAACTTCTCACTAATATTAGCATTAATTTGAATACTATCATCATATAGTTCTATTATTAGTCGTCCATCTGGATCTTTTGCTACAACTAATGCCTTCAGTGACTTATCTAAAATAGTCTCCCGAAACCATGTTGTAACTTCTCCTGGTATGTGATCAGGAATATCAGATAATGAACATTTAACAGCTTGCATGGGCAAAAGTAAGACATCATATGCATCACTAGGTATTGGAAGTATATCTCCACTTGTTGCTACATAAATGTTCCCAAAATCAACAAAGAAGACTTTATTTGGTTTTTTCTCTATTAATATCCCTCTATACCAGTTTCCATCAGTATACTTGGCAAGGCACAAGTTTCCAGGGATGAACGGAGATGTTTTTAAATTCAGCAAAGTTTTACTTAATTGTGTGATACTACGTGACAACTGTTCTAAAACATCTGCATTTCTTGCCAGCTGGCAATAAAACTTCCAAGGGTCATCAACATAAGTTACACACACAAATTCTTCACTTCCAATTTTCATATCATGTGTAGAATAGTAGTAGGAATGTAGCTGAACAGAGGATTCCAAAGGCATCTCAAGTTTTACTGGTCTCGCAAGTCTCTTTTCTACCAAAAAATGGCATGCGCTCTGAAAGGGTGTTAACAAATCCACAACATTAAACAATCCTTCATCCTCTATTGAAGCCAAAGCAAATACTGTGCATTTTAATTCTAGATTGTCTTGCCATGCATTATCCAGAAATTCACTAAAAGCTTGTATTGCCTTTTCATCCCAAACAAAAGGATTTTGACCAGTTGGTTGAATTAAATTATAAAGACTGCACCTAAAAGCCTGAGCATTAACCTTAAGAAATTCTTCACTAATTGCATAAATATTCTTTACAGATACCATATCTTTGTCCCCATAATCTACAAATATTACTTTGACATGCTCTGAAGATTGTGCCCCACTTATTAGAGCTCTGGACCATTTTCCATTTACTGTTCGCTTTGCTAAACAAGCAGGGGTGGTTCCCTGGTGAGGAGCAGCCATATTTTTGCAATAGTCCTGAATATTACACATTAGCGTTTTAAATCCTTGTATGTTCCTGGTCATCTGGCACCAGAAATAGCCAGGGTTTTCAACATATGACACTTTGACTTCTACTGTACTTCCAATTTCTAGCTCTTCTTTACAAAAAGAGCCTGGCTTAATTTCCAAAAAATTCTGTGCAAGAGAAGAAAACACAGATGTCCTTTTCTCTTTTTCCTGCACAACTAGTCCAGGTGAAACATTTCTAACAACTGCTGTGTCAGTCAAAGCTTCTGAAACAGATGTGGTTGTATTATCTCTCTTGGCTTTCTGTTTTCCTTCTACCTTCTTGCCAGAAGATACTTTGTTATTCTCAGCAGTAAAATGGTTTGAAACATGCCCTGGAGAGTGGGCATTTACCTGTGTATTTTCCTTTGTTTCAAATTCCTGATACTTGGCATATCCTGCTTGAGCAATTGCCTTACTAATGTTTTCTTCCCCTGTTCTTGATTCATCAAGAATCTCAACAACATAGTGGCGTTCCTGCTTATCAAGGATATGGATGACTAATTCTTTGTGAAGTACAGTCTTTTTAAAAAAGGTAATTGCCTCCTGGCTCCAAACTTTTCCCAAAGGCCAAATATCAGCTAGAGTGCACCTCAGAGCCAACACTGGCAGTTGCCTAAACTGAGGAAGCAACATTCTTACATCATACCAGTCCACATTTACCAAATTGCCTACGTCAACTAAGAATACATCCACACTTTTGTCGTCCAATCTGGTGACCATGGCCCGATAATAGCCATTTTCTTTCCACTTGACACAGCAAAGGTCATCAGGTTCAGGTTTCAAAACTACACCATCCAGCTTACTGGCTGAGGAATAGAAACTGCACATTCTCTTCATCAGCTTGCTGAAAGTGCCACTGTGTTTCCTCAACCTAATCCAAAACTCAGAAGGACTTTTAACAAACTCTACCTGAGCATCATAGAAGGCATTCACCTTTAACCTGATAGACCTTAGGCCTGGGTGTGAAATTTCTTCATCCACCTCTTCAGCAAGAGACTGGGACTGAAGAACTGTTTCTGGTTCTTCCTCCTCCTCTTCCTCCTCTATTCCCTGGCTCTGAAGGAATCGGTCAGCCAAGCAACACGACTGTACTCCAAACACACAGTTGAAATTAATCCCATCGTCACCATACAGGGTGACATAATACACATGCTCAAAAGAACAATAAAATTCAATCTTTGCATTCACTGCCTGGCCCAGTATCAGTGCTTTTAGGTCACCGACCTGTGACCGTGACCAGCCTCTCCCACCGTCCCATAGTCCATACAAAGCACAAGGGTAGGTCACCACAGGCATTCGAAAATATTCAGGTAGCATGTACCGGAGGCTGCTGCAGCTCACTAACTCTTTCCTTCCATAGTCTACGTGAAGCACCTGGGCACAGCGCTGGGGCCGGAAAATCTCAAGCAAGAGCCCTCTGTACCAACGTCCATCCAACCCACAGGATGCACACGGAGAGCCCGGCTTGTCTGGGCTCTCCTCCCTTTCCTCCCAGGTGGCACTGGTAGAATTCTCATGCCCTGTCCCCGTGGAACCCCGATATGCCTGGGCCATGCTCTCAGAGAGGCGGTGGATCTCCTGTGAGAGGCTCCGGAGCTGGCAGTGAATGCGGTGTGGATGGCACACCTGGGTTACCACGACGGGCTCCGTCACTCCCAGCTGCAGCTGGGGATAGAAGTAGTCCAGGCCAGGGTGCTCTGGCTTGTGCGAGAGAACTGAGGCCCCGGGGCCTGTGCCAGCAGTGCTCGTCGCCTTGAGGTAACGCTTCAGGAGCGAGCGGAAGAGACTGCCGGGCACCTGCCGGGCCAGGCCGAGCTCCTGCATCTGCTGGAACAGACTGGGCACCTGGAGAAGGACCAGGCGGTGGAGGAGCAGCACGTCAAGGACCTGCCCATGCACCTCCTTGCCCTTCAGGTTGCTAAGGAAGTCCACGGCGCTGGCCGGCCACTGCTGCGGCTCGCCCCCGCCCGCACCGCCACTGCCCGTTGGCACCAGGCCAGCCAGCACGCAGCCAAGCACCTCGGAGGGCAGGTGGAAGAACTCGCTGCGCCCGGGCATCAGCGAGCTGGAGTTGGCCGTGATGGTGCGGCCCTCGTCGAGCAGAAAGACGCAGCTCTTCTGCGCCTGCTGGCTGACCACGCGGCAGCGACGCCACAGGAGCCCCACCTGCACCAGGCACAGCTCGCCGGGCGAGGCCGAGGCGCCACCCCGGGCCCACTGGCTGCGCGCGGCCGCCGCTTCTTGGATCTCTCGGCTCAGCCGCACGTACTCGTCCCGCCGCTCTCCCACCAGTCCCCATAGCTGCACGGGGATCACCTTGGGGTGCACGTCCACGAAGGATACCCGCAGGACCAGTGAGGTCCCCGGCGTCGGCAGCCAGGGCGTCGAGCACATCTCAGTGGCACAGCCACCGCTCCTTGAGCGGTTAGGGCCGCGCGTCAGGCCCGCGAAACTCCTCCTCGCCGCTGGAAGGTCAGGCCCACCAAACCCCCGCTTCCGGCCGCGGGGTGCGGTCGGGCAGGGGCCAGGCCGGGGCGGGCGTAAGGGAAGAGCGGGCAGAACGGCTCGGAGGGACGTTTAGGAGGCGGAGAGGTGGGAGCGTTGGGACGCAACCTGCCTCTCCTCAGAGCGCCTTCGACTCTGGAGGACTCAGTATGAAGCCTTGGCCACGGGCCTGGGTGAGGACTGCTCCAGAAAGTGATTTCCTTTTCGTCCTTCCAGCTACTGCTGATTTGAGTGCTGTGTGCCGGGCATGGTGCTAGCCGTTGCAGTTCCCGAGGAGGAACGGAAACGAGAAACGCAGGCGCCAACGGCACGTTCTTGGGCGTTATGGCCCGAACTCTCCCAGGGCCCGGGCGCTGGCAGGCTTGCGGGCCCCCACACCACACCACCCCACCCCCGAGTACGGGTGCCTTTGCTTCTCACGGTTTTTGTAACCTGCAGCAAGTTGCTTATCCGCTATTCCATGAACCTGTTTCATCATCTGAATTGACATAGTTGTTAGGAGGTTAAAATAAAGTATGAGGGTATATGGCGACTGTTAAATGTGTCCTTCCCCGCACTTAACCAGGTATGGGTTGCTTTGCTGCTTTGTTGCCTAACTCTGGCACCCCAACTTGAAGGCATTCTTCATTTGCTCACAGTGGTAGCACAGAATGAGACTCACAGAAGGAGGTCAAGAGGAATTGAATATATATTACTTCAAACTCTTGCTGTATCTCCTGCCCGCACCTAAATCTTACCAGGGCAACCCTTTGAAAATTCCAACTGTCAAACCGAGGAAGGAGAAGGACAGAAAAGCACAGGCAAACTATGCGAAATTTCCAAGATCTGTCTACATTAGATTCTTGTTCATTTGAAAAATCAGACACATCTCTGGGAGCTTCTTCTAGTTTGCACGTTTCATTTCACTTCACATTTTGAAATATCATTAAATACAAATACAATATGACGCCGGCCTAATAGCGTCAACCTTAGTGTCTTAAGTGTATCCAGATTAGAAGCTACCATGTGCTTCCCAATTGTCCCGTGCTCATTAAATACAAATACAATATGACGCCGGCCTAATAGCGTCAACCTTAGTGTCTTAAGTGTATTAGAAGCTACCATGTGCTTCCCAATTGTCCCGTGCTCTCTCATGGTAGTTTCCACGTTGTGTTGCAACGTCTGGTCACTTTGTCCTCCTACTAGCCTACAGGCTCCTTTGGCAAGGACCATTTGTTCTATTCTTGGAATCTTGCATGGGGTGGAGGCAATAAATGTTTGCTAAATGAATGAATGAATTTGATTTCTCCAAAAGCTTTGACTTTTCCCTGATGAACTCATCCTTGAAAATTCAATTTCCTTTTCCAGATTTTCTCTAATTTTAGAGTGACAGTTTAGCTCAGTTGGTTAGAGTGTAGTCTTATAACATCAAGGTCACGGGTTTGGATCCCCTTACCCGCCAGCTACCAAAAACCAAAAACAAACAGCTTTTCTCTAATTGTTTCATATTCATTATGGAAGACAAACATTTGGTTTTAAAACATCTAGCAAGACCTAGCTCAGTGTCTCTTCCTCATGACTCTACTATTCAACCAGGCAGTGTTGATTGTTCCCTCATTTTATGTGCCTCTATAGTATCTATTATATTTTGCACCTGTTTACTATCTCTCTTTTCCACTGCAGTATGAATATCTTAAAAGCTGAAACCCTTCTCATTCATTTTTATGTTATCAATGCCAAGCACAGTGATGGACTATTAACACTCAATAAATATTTAACAAAAGAAGAAAGTAATCTGGCATGACGTCCTTTACAGTAGAAGGAAGGAGTTTATTATAAAATGGTTTTATTATCACTTGAAACTTTTATCACATGGAATATGGAGATTTCAGTTCGCCCTCTACTTCAGGCTCCAGCAGTATAATTAAACTCTCACAAAGACCATAGGGTTGTAGATATTGTAAGTGACTTCTCTCTTCTATTTCCCTTGTCCTCCAAACTCCTTCCTTGGCCTTAAATTTTGGGATGCCAGGGTATATCATGTGACCATAGTGGGCAGATCAGAGGGCTTTCCTTTTTCATGGCACATTGTGTTGCCATAGTCTAATCACTTTGTCATTCCACAGTGACAAAGGGAAATGGAACTCTTGTCTCCATCCAGCTATTTTCAGTGTCTCACCTCTTCTGTATATGGACTAGGTAGCTTTGTTTGGTCTGCTCTATTGCTGAACAGGAAATCAAGTCATTAAAAGAAAATCAGATCACTGCACTATGTATCTCCCATACTTCATTAAGCAAAATATCTTGAGTTCTATTGAACAGGAAATCAAGTCATTAAAAGAAAATCAGATCACTGCACTATGTATCTCCCATACTTTATTAAGCAAAATATCTTGAGTTCTATAAAAAAAAAAAAAGAAACAAAAAAACCCCCAACATTAAAAAACCCAACATTCCTCCTGTTAGACTTGAGCGGCCCTTGGCTTCAGAAAGGGAGGGAGAGGGGATATTCTTATTCTAAGACACATACTTAAGGGTTAAAGGGAGAAAGGGAAAGGCCAGGGAATGGAATGTGTCTGAGAGGTGTTTGAATACTATATTGTTAGTTATCTCAATCTTTTTAACGGAAACAAGATGCAGGAAAATTGGGCAAAACAGATAAATCATATTTATTCTGTGCTATCTTATACCTCCATGTATACTATAAAGCCTATAGTTTCTATACCACTAATTACCCTTGTTTAAAGATGCTTAGAAAAATTGCTAATACTGAATTAAAATAATTTTGAAATATTAAGCACTGTCATATTAAGCACTGTCTTCTTATATTTGTATTTAATATTTCAAAATAATCAACACTGAATTTTTTTTTTCCTTTTTTAATAACAAGTAAGAAATATTCTGTTAAGAGAATGAAAAAGGCAAGCTACAGACAGGGAGAAAATATTTGCAAACCACCTGTCTGACACAGGACTGTAACTACAATATATAAACAACTCTCAAAACTCAAAAAAAAAACAAGGCAAAGTTGAAAATGGGCAAAAGATATTAATTGACACTTCACTGAAGAGGAAACACAGATGGCAAAGAAATGGAAAGATTTTCAATATCATCAGTTATTAGGGGAAACAAAATTAAAACCACAATGATGTATCACTACATACCTATGATAATGACTAAAGTAAAAAATAGTTATAACACCAACAATGACAAGAATGTGGAGAAACTGGATTGCTCATGTTTCTGGTGGGTATGTAAAATGGTACAGCCTCATTTAAAAAACTAAATAGGCACTTGCCATATGACTCAGCAAATGCACTCTTGAGCATTTATCCCAAAGAAATGAAAACTTATTTTCTTGCAAAAATCTATACACAAATGTTTACAACACCTGTATTCCTAGTAGCCCAAACTGGAAACAACCAAAATGTTCTTTGATGGGTAAGCAGTTAAACAAACTGTGGTACATCCATACCCACGGCTACTATTCAGCAATAAAAGAAAAAGAAATGAAGTAGTGATTGTACTCTTGGGCATTTAGCCAAAAGAAATGAAGTATTAATATGTGCAACAACTTGGAAGGGTTCCTTATGCTACCCCTTTATAGCCAAACTCATCCCTTTTCCCCCACCCCTAACTACCGTATAACTTTGTTAATCCAAGAATATTATATAAATAGAATAATATAGTATATAACATTTTGAGATTTTTTTTTTCACTCAGCATAATTTTCAGGAGAACCTTCCAAGTTTTATGCAATTTTATCACCTTTGTGTAGCTTCAGTAACCACCACCACATTCAAGATACGGTCTGTCTTGAAGCTACACAAAGGTGATATTGCATAGAACTAGACACACACACACGCACATGCTTATAAATGGTTGAAATATGAATATATGGATTGTACCAATGAAAATTTCCTGGTTTTGACTGTGTACTATAATTATACACGATGTTACTATTGGGGAAGGTTGGGTGAAGGGTATATAGGACCTCCCTGTATATTTTTTGCAACTTTATTAGAATCTAAAATTAATTCAAAATAAGTTTTTAAAGATTTTGTGAAATTGAGATTTCAGTGTCCACAAAGAATGTTTGTTAGTATACACAAACAGGTAATTCACAGGACTAGACCATTATAGGGGACAATTAGAGTAGAGAGGGAATATTTTTGAGTCACTGTAGGACTGGCTTCCATTAATAGCCATGTGACCCAGGCAAATTATTTATACTGTTTCCACATCTGAGAATGGGTGTAATGACAGATACCTTATTGGATGGTTCTGAGGATTGCATGACAATGTAAGTACAGTTAACCTCTTTGCATTAAATAAATACTTGAGATGCAACAAAATATAGTGGAAAAAGGAAGGACTTTAGATTCTGAAAGTCCCTATTTCTCACTTCAGGGTAACATGGACAATTAACTTTCTGAGTTAGTTTCCTCAGCTATAAAAATGGAATTCTACTTAATTAAGAAGCCTCAATGACCCAATACAGGTAAAGGACTCACCACAGTAGAGAGGTAATAAATTATAGTTATTAGTAATAGTGAATAAAATAAAAAATTAAAAATGCTTTTTCTCTTAGGTCTCTTAAATATTAAAAAATACTGTTATATTTTTTAAAAAGTAAGTTTATTGAGGCATAATTTATGTACAGTAAAACTCACTCTTTTATTATGAAATTTGATGTTTTGACAGATGCATAAGTTATACATTTGTATACTATATGAATTTGTATACAATGTAGATGCACACCACCAAGTACAAATGTATATAGTTTTAAGTGTACACTACCACAATTAAAATATAAATATTTACATTATCCAAATAATTTTTTCCTGCTCCTTTGCAGTCTATCCCCTCCCTCCCTCATGGACTCAGTCCCTCACAACCACTGTCCCTAT